AGAGTATTTTATGTCTACCTGGTACAAATGCTCCAGTAGAAAGAGTATTTTATGTCTACCTGGTACAAATGCTCCAGTACAAAGAGTATTTTATGTCTACCTGGTACAAATGCTCCAGTAGAAAGAGTGTTTTATGTCTACCTGGTACAAATGCTCCAGTAGAAAGAGTATTTTCCTATAATAAATAATTGTGGACGTCTGAAAAACCACTGACAGGTACCAGTTCTAAAGGCGATAAAAAAAACATGCCCAAAACTTTATTCTTGTTTAAAATCATCATCAACTTTATTAAAGCAAATTTGTTCCACTGACAAAAGTATATTTAAAAAATATTTTGCATTTAATAATTACTCTCCGAGGAACTTTGATTTAATGAAGCTGGTTAACTGGTGATTGACTTTTATTTTACACAATTTGTTATAATTAATGTGAATATAATTATAGTAAATACTAATTGAATAAAGTTACAGTTTCTCTAAATAAATAACATAAAAATGTTGTGATTTCTTATGTGTTTCTTACGCGAACACTACACATTGAATAAAACTACTTTTACGGATTTTTCGCGTTTAATTAACTTATCTTATTGCGTTATATTATATTATATTTATTTTTTATATTTTTTTTTCGCCTTTAAAAAACTTATTATACGTGTGCCTGCTGTACTACCATATGTCAGAGGTGTCACAGACAAGATTGGCTACATCTTGAAGTGAGCTTCTATTTGAACATTCTTCAAGCCGCCGAAGAAGATTAGTCAGTTCTTACCATCCGTGAACTGCAATATAATATTCTACAAGATGCAGGAGTGTACAAGCTTGATTGTGAGTGTGGTCTCTCATATATAGGGCAAACAAAACGATCTATCAAAACCCGCGTAAAAGAGCACATAGCTAACGTGAATTACCAACGTTCCGGGAAGTCTGCAGTTTGTGATCATATCCTGGACGGCCCCCGCCATTACATTATATTTGATAAACATCAAACATCAATTCCTGCCAAGGATGATACGTGAGGCTATTGAAATTAAAAACATCGTAATTTCAATAGAGAAGGAGGCTGGGCACTGCCACCTGCTTGGGATCTTGTAATTAATAAAATTGCGGAAAGGACACATCATTTTCTTTCTTTACGCGGAATTAAGCAAATTAGTTTATAACAACCCCATTATAATGGATTTCCTCAAAGTAACGCCTGATTCTATCAATTATATAAAACTACGGTTGCCAACCCGTCTGCCAAACGTGGCAAAGTAAAAGCAGCTATTAAATGGATAGAAGATGTATAGAAGATAATCTACCAGGAGCACATAACCCGCTGAGAGGTGAAATTATTGAATCAACAGTAACATTACACAACTATGGCAAAATACCTTAGAAGATAATCTACCAGGAGCACATGACCCGCTGGGAGGTGAAATTATTAAATCAACAGTAACATTACACACTATGGCAAAATACCCTCTACCTCTATGAGGCAATATATGGGGAAGCCTATGTGCAGACTTTTATAGGCTGTAATGGATGGACTAATATTATCTAACCGGCGAACGTACCCAACATCTTATATGTAAATTTATTAAAACTATATTATTTATATCAAATTGCTTCATATAATAAAAATATTTCTACTTTTGCATATAATACTTTTAAAACTAAAAAGATTCAAAAATAAAAAAAGCCCGTTGCATTGACGCTTTGTATACGTTTATATATTAATTAACTTTTTTTAATGGAATTTCACGGCCAGTACACGACAGTGACAGCTTTTGTCGCCCGGAAAGATGGCGCGTAAATGAGACGGTGCACTGCTGTAGAACGGAAGTGTCAGTTACTCTCTTTACTTTGTCTCAGTGGTTAGCAGCATCAAAACGAAACTGCAAGACTTCAAGACACAGTAAGTTCATTTTGCGTAGATCGGACCAAAATTAATAATTTAAAAAGCTGAAGGTACCCCGGGTTAACTCTGACATCGGGACGTCAATCACCTCAGTCTCCCGTGACCACGGGTGCTGCAAAGCACCCAAAACGTAGGAAATTAATAAAAATGAGACAGACAGACATCTAGAATAGAATAGAATAGAATGATTTTTATTCAATATGGATTATTACATAATACTTATTGAAAGTCATTATTTTATTTACCACTGGTTCGGAAAATACCTCCTGTCCTGGGAAGAACCAGCAAGAAACCCAGCGGGACTTTTTTTTTAAACATAATTTCACTTAACAATAATTTTGTTTATACAATTTTAAATGAATTTTCATAGAACCAGCATGGTGGCGATAACCTTATTCCCAGGGGTTATTTTCATTCATGTATTCCTTGATATTATAATAACCCTTTTTGTACAGTTTTTCTTTAATAAAACTTTTAAACTTGTTTATTGACAAACTTTGAACATGTTCTGGGATTCTGTTGTAAAAGCGTATACATTGCCCCATAAATGAATTACTAATTCTGTGGAGTCTTGTAAGTGGCATTACAAGCTTATGTTTGTTCCTAGTGTTTAAGGTATGAACATCCTTATTCTTATTAAAGCTATTTATGTTTTTATGTACATACATTACATTTTCATAAATATATTGCGATGCCAAAGTTAATATATTTATTTCTTTAAATTTTTCTCTAAGGGACTCTTTACAATTTAGATTATAAATCGCCCGTACGGCTCTCTAAACACGGGACATGGTAAACACATGAGTTAAAAAATAAATGGTCAGTTTATGTATACCCATCTTTTGCTTTAACTAAACAACCTGCTAAACATACATTATCCGATAAGGAAAAATGACATAATCATTTTCCGAACTGGCAGTCGTACCCATTTTTATGAAATGTACTGACTCACTCCTGGCTTCCAAAGTTAGGTAAATATCACTCTTGGTATCCTGTGAGAATTGGTGTGACGATATTTTGCTGATTTACCTGCAGAGTGAACTGACATGAGCGTAAGTTCATGTGCGCACTGTAATTTCTCAAAAGGTCTAGCTCGAAAATACCGTCGGTTTCGCACGGCATGGAATCTAATTCATACGTGGAACTGATGATACAACAAAATGCTCTATGTTATAAGCTTATGTTTAAGCCACTAATGATAGTGTTGTTTTTTTTTTCTGATTTGTAATTTATGGGTATTTTACTTTTACGCAAAACTGATAAACTAGCTCCAGTATCTAACAAGTAACCGGCGAAGTGCGAGTCGGACTCACGTATGAAGGGTTCCGTACCTTCGTAAAACACACTTCTAGTAACAGAGTCCCTTTTAATTTTTAATTTATTTTTATTATTTGCTATTATAGCGGTAACAGAAATACACATTCTGTGAAAATTTCAACTGTCTACATATTAAGGATCACGAGATACAGCCCGCTGACAGACAGAAGGATGGACGGACAGACGGACGGACAGCGGAGGCTTAGTAATAGTGTTCCGTTGGATACTCTTTGGGTAAGGAACCCTAAAAATGAATAGTCATGTCCCTCAAGTGACAAAGTTAAGTAATTAAGGCCATCACACGTTAATATTTTACGCTCGAAAAATTTGTGTCAAATCCCGTTCTTGACTTTCCGTATTTTCGTGTTCAGTGCGGAGAGATCCTGCCGTGCCTGTCTGATGATTGGTACGACCGGTATACGTTTACGCTCTTTGGTACATGTTGTCATTACCAATACCTCGGTGCCAATATTGGTCACAACAGCAACGCGTGCCATGACCCCCTTTTTAAAGCTATCAGAAGGCTGACGCTGATAAGTACTGTTTGCCGTATTTCCATGGTACGAGTAGCTGTCACGATTACCTTGCGAATAGATATAATCGTTGCCTCGGGATAGTGTCCTGACAACCTAAGAAGAACATACAGTCAGTCATAGCGTTTGATGTTGTCGGAAAAGCCGACATAGAGGGTAGTCAGGACATTTGAATTTGTTTGTTTCTACCGCACATGTATTGTAAACCATATTAATTTATTTGCGTGACAAGACAATCCTAGTTGATACTTCCAGAACGACTAACGGCTGCTCGGGAGCGCTCCACTCGCGTTACGACCCGCACCGCACCGCACGTAGCTTCCTCCCAAGCCGAAGACAGTGGTGTAGAAGTGATACCTAAATTAAAGTATGGTGGTAATACAGTGACCACGAAGAATCTTAATTCTTGTAAATTGCACAGTGATGGACCGCCAATCATCCAGATGGTATGGATGATATCTAGAATTTTGTAGCGATGTGCGATGCTGAAATTGGGTAGCTAAAATTAGTCCGAACAATTCCTTTGAGCACTCCCCGTGGCAGATGAGATCGAATACTGTTACGAGCTTTGCTTTCGAGACAATTAAAAACTGCCGAGTGAGTTACCAAAATTGACACTTTAATTACAGAACACTAATTACAACTTAAAACCACACTAATAACAAAACACAATTGTACTACTGATCACTTTATTTCGCAGTTGTATCGCTTCGAAGTATTCGCTAGTATCGCCAATTCAGTACTGCCCGGCTCGTGGTCTATACCGGCCTTATATAGGGTCTCAGTTAGTTCCAGAATCTTCTACTGTAGAAACATCTAGAATGTTCGAGTACATACCAGTCCCGATTGACTAGGTGTCGATAGTTCTAGAAAAATCTTCCATAAAAATATCCAGAATGATCTTGACTCTCCTACTTTTGCTACTCGATACTAGAAGACGCTAGTGGTAACTAGTGTTGCCATGTACCGGGCATTGATGGTGACGCTCAACAATACGCAAAGAGATGCAACATCTGTTCGCAGCGCCGGTGATTCAAGCCGAAAAATATGCTCTATTCTTACAAATGAGAGATGTGTCATGGTAGGCGTACGTATAGATATACGATAAGCGTTATATATTAGTCATACATCACTATCACCTTATCGCGAAACTAAAGCATATCGCACTATAAGATAAATACAAAACAATCTTATAAAGGAACCTCCAAATTTCGGAGCGTCAAAGTTTTCTTTAGTCGAGAGACCGCAGACATGAAAGTTGTACTGTTCAACCTCATCTTGGTTAGTGCAGTGTGCGGCTCACCGAGGTTGGACCCTCTAGTGAATACAAAGAAGGGCCTGATCCGCGGTCTGCAGGCGTCCGATGGGGACTACTCCATGTTCTTGGGCATTCCCTACGCGAGGGTTAACGACAGCAATCCGTTCGGGGTGAGTTAATGCAAATTTGTCCTTTCAATTACGGTAGGTAATTAAAATTGTTTATGTCACATAATATTGGAAATTGTATGTGTCCGTGGGCGATGGCAGAAGCCGACACAAGAGCTCCAATGGCATTATTGATGTGTGTTACTATTGTAACCAAATACGTAATAGACTGCCATGAGCGGAAATCTAAACCGGAGGAGGACCACGCTCTCACAGAATACCAGCGTTAAACAGCAGCTTAACGCTGCTGTGTTTCGTATGCTGAGTGTAGACAACCGGAGACCCTTTTAAGTTTTTATAGGGGGCCGTATTTGCCATAGTTCAACTCTCAGTGGATCATATGCTCCTGGTAGATTTCCTTCTATACATCTATCCATTAGAGCCTATTAAAGTCCACTTCAACATAGGCCTCGCCGTAGATTGCCTCATAGGGGGCCATTTTTGCCATAGTTCACCTCTCAGTAAGTTATGTGCTCCTAGTAGATTATCTTTCATACATCCATCTATTACAGCCTATTAAAGTCCATTGCTGAACGGTAGGCCACCCAATAAATAGATTGCCTCATAGGAGGCCATATTTGCCATAGTTCACCTCTCAGTGGATCATGTGCTCCTGGTAGATTATCTTCTATACATCTATCCATTACAGCCTATTAAAGTCCATATGAACATAGGCCTCCCCATAGATGGCCTCATAGGGTGGGATATTTGCCATAGTTCACCTCTCAGTGGGTCATGTGGTCCTGGTAGATTATCTTCTATACACCTATCCATTGCAGCCTATAAAAGTCCACTGATAACCTTAGCCCCGCCCCATATATTGCCTCATAGAGGGGATATATTTGGGACGCTTGACAGGCGTGTTGGGAACAGTAGTTTATTACTATTTTGTGTTGACATCAAGAAGCTGCTGCCCATCACCTGTTCCAGTTTCCCTCTGTCGCCTCTTACGACACCCACGGGACGATACACGGTAGTGGATATTCTTACACCGCCACTACAAGGTAAGAAAGAAAAGTATAGTTTACAAAAAATAAATAAACCCATCGGTAACCAAATCATGGTCTTATGATAAAACAAAAAGAAACGTTTCTTTTGCAGCCGTCTGTACCATACCCCGATTTCGACGATGTCTTCGAGGCCTACGACGACTCTGCAGTATGTCCGCAAGCCGAAGTGTTCACGAAGCAAATAATAGGAACCCTAGACTGCCTACACCTCAACATATACGTCCCCAACAAGGCCTCAACCTGGAACCGCCTTCCAGTCCTCGTTTGGGTATACGGCGGCGGTTTTAGGAATGGTTTCGCCAAACGCTCCGTATACGGGCCTAAGTATTTAGTCAGAAACGATGTAATTCTAGTCACGCTCAACTATCGACTGGGTCCATACGGTTTCATGTGTCTGGACACACCAGACATACCCGGCAATCAAGGCCTGAAGGACCAGCTGAGCGCTCTGCGCTGGGTGAAAGAAAACATCGAAGCATTCGGAGGGGATGTCAACAAGGTGACGATGATCGGGGAGAGCGCTGGAGGGGCTTCCGTTGACTTCCATCTCCATTCAGCGCAGGAGAAATTGTTTGATAAAGTTATAATGCAGAGCGGAACAACTCTGTGTCCGTGGGCGATGGCAGAAGCCGACACAAGAGCTCCAATGGCAATTGCCAAACACCTTGGCTTCGAAGCTGAAGACAACGCTGACGCCTTGACCTTCCTATCGACTGTCGAACCGAAGCTGGTGACAGGCGCGGCGGTACAGCTCTCTCTAACGTTCCGTCCATGCGCTGAAAAGGACTTCGACGGCGTGGAGAAATTCGTGGGGGAACACCCTATCAATAGCCAAATACCAAAAGCTAAAGATATTAAAATTCTCATCGGCCACAATAACCGGGAGATGCTTCATATTTATGCAAAAAAAACATTAGATAGTGCAGAAGGTTTTTATGTGTTTAAGAAACATTTGGAGACGAGTTTCCATTTGAGAAACGAAGATGACCTAGTGGCACTGGTACGTCAGTTCTACGTCGGCGACAAAGACTTCGGCGAGAACTTAAAATGGGATCTGATGGACTTTGAATCCGATTTTAGATTTAACCATCCAGTACATAGAAGCATACAGAAGTATCTAGATAACGCTGCAACGGTCTACCACTATGTGTTCTCATATTCAGGTGGCAGAAATTTGAACAAGATTAAAAGGAACATAACCGAAAACGGTGCCGCGCACGCTGATGAAATTGGATATATCTTCGATGTATCAACCTTGTCGGAAACTACGACGGAAGACGACCAGTTCGTCATCGACAGAATTACAACGTTGTGGACTAATTTCGTGAAATATGGGTACGTTTAAATGTGTTAGAGCCATGCTACAGCTGTATTATGGTTTTAGCACGACAGGGTACTTAATGCTGCTTTGTTTTGTATGGTGAGGGTAGGGAACCGGGGACTCTTTTTATTGGATACGAAGCATTCTATCTTAGTCCTCAGAGGAGACAACGCATCTGCATTTTGATTATTTATCAAGTATAGATGTAGATGTCATGGGTGACATCATCCACATGTCATTGTGTGGATTGTGTTTGTTTGTCACCCTTTCTTATTCTATAAAAAAAAAGTAAAAATAAGATTTCTTTCTTTGGACTACAACAAACAATAACAATGTCTTCCAGACCGAGTTTCGGCCACGGCGGCCAGTCTCAACACAGATTACCCATTTGCGCAGGACAGGATTATAGTGCACCTGTGCTTGCGCATACACTCGGTATGTGCAAGCACAGGTGCACTCTCTATTCCTTAACTCCGACACGACCGGAGAGAGAACAGGCACAAAACCTATGGCTTTACGTGTTTCCCCAGGCACGGGTGTGGAAACACCGCCAACTACCTAAATCCCGGCTGCCACTGAGAATTTTTTGACAGAAAAACCCAATAATTGATTTTGGCCTGACCCGGGATTCGAACCTGGGAGCTCATTATCAGCAACCGCATTTACGATCACTAGACCAATGAGGTAGTCATTTTACAAAACAAAGCTTTATGTACAACAACATAACAATTATTTACCTACTTTTATACGTGGTAGAGCCATGCTGCAGCTATATTATAGTTGTAGCACGAATGGTTCGGCTCGACCGGGGAAGGACAACGCTCTCACAATACCAGCGTAAAATAGCAGCTTAACACTACTGTGTTTCGTATGGTGAGTGTAGAGAACCGGAGACCCTTTTTACTGGAAAAGAGGCATTCCATCTTAGTTTTCACTGGTGACAACGCATCTGCATTTTGATTCGCAAACGAAGATAAATGTAGATGTCTATGGGCACAGCAAACACTTACCATCAGGTGGACTGTGTCATCGTTTATATTTCGTTGTATAAAATATTATATTATAAATTTATGTTGAAAAAAAAGTTCCGCTGGGATTCTTTCTGGTTCTTCCCAGGACCCAGCTTTTTCAGAACTAGTAATAAAAAGCTTAACTGGCTTTCATAAAGTATTCTAGTACTATTATGACCAACTTTGATAAAGTTTTTGATTCCATTCAATTTTCACAGAGACCCCACTCCCGACACATCGGAACTGTTGCCGGTGAAATGGTCGCCAGTAGAGAAGGACGTCTTACATTACCTGGACATAGACAGAGAACTGACAATGAAGAGGAGACCGTTCCACAACCGGATGGCTTTCTGGGATCTGTTCTATAAGATGAACCATAAGTTGTTGTTCGGGTACAAAGAAGATTAAAAATAGAGAGTTATGTATAGTAAATAAACAATTAGTGTTATATATGATTATTAAATAATATGTTACAAAGATGGGACTTAATGCTTATTGGCATTCTCTGCCAGTCAACCCGTGGAATAATGAGATTTTGTGGCAGGTGCATTTATATATATATATATATATATATATATATATATATATATATATATATATATATATATACATACACATACACACGTTCTATGACATACATATAATATATAAAATCTATTACGTAAATATATAAACAAAGCATGTTTAATATACCGTTGTCGTTACAGCCTATTGAAGTCCACTGCTTAACATATGCCTCCCCATAGATTGCCTCATAGGGGGGATATTTGCCATAGTTGTAATGTTACTGTTGATTTAATAATTTCACCTCTCAGTGGGTCATGTGCTCCTGGTAGATTATCTTCTATACATCCATCCATTACAGCCTAATAAAGTCAACTGCAGAACATAGACCTCCCCCGTAGATTGCCTCATAATAGGGGGGATAGTTGCCATAGTTGCAATGTTACTGTTGATTTAATAATTTCACCTCCCAGTGGGTCATGTGCTCCTGGTAGATTATCTTCTATACATCCATCCATTACAGCCTATATTAGTCCACTGTTTGAACATATGAGTTATTATTAATTTCACCTCTCAGTGGGTCATGTGCTCCTGGTAGATTATCTTCTATACATCCATCCATTATAGCCTATAAAAGTCCACTGCAGAACATAGGCATCCCCCATAGATTGCCTCATACGGGAGATATTTGCCATAGTTGCCTCCTCGCTTGGCAAGCGCGTTAGCAACCGCAGTATTATTTATATTTAGTACAACCCATCTCCTGGTTTGTTCCCTCTGTCGCCTCTTACGATACCCACGGGATGATATGGGGTACTGGATATTCTTTCAACGCCACTACACGATGTAATATATTATATTAATTAAAATGTTAATTACATATTACATTTATTTAAACGTTTATGAAAAAAATTGGACATATGGGGGACTTAATAATGCCTTAAGGCATTTTCTTCCAGTCAACCATTAGGCTAAGCAGAGATAACATACGGGGGGAGATGGAGCAGCAAAAAATAAATTAATAACGAGAAAAAATACTAACGAAGCATATATATATTATAATATTCCTTGAAGTACGAAGATGGTTTTTACGGAGAGAAAATTTTAAAAAATGCCTGAAAAAGTCTAAAAACAACACTTCTATATTCCCATACAAAAGATTCGTAATAATACTTAAAAGTCAATTTGAACTTTGATACCATACCATAAAGTTTAAGTGTTAGTGGAGGGGTTCCGGGAAGGCAAAACAATTGAGTGACACAGTTGAAAAAGTTAGTATCGTATAAATATTAATGTCAATATTTTTCAATATTTATACGATGATAACATTACTCAAAAAAAAATTAAGGTACCGCGCAAAAAAATTGATCATGAAATTGTAGTAAATTCCACGCGGGCGAAGTTGCAGGGAACAGCTTGTATATATATATATATATATATATATATATATATATATATATATAGAGAGAGAGAGAGAGAGAGAGAAGTGTCAAAAAAATCCAAAGTTCTTTAGGCCATGATAGTATTTTTGTAAAATATTAAAATATTGTTGTATATTACATATCTGTACCTAATTTATATGTATTTACCTATTAAAAATCATGTAGAAATTAACAAAACGACATCCAAACCCAATCTAATGCTCAAATATAACGCGACAACAATAAGATAAATTGTTATGGCGTTAATAAATACCTCCCCTCCCCCACAAGGAATACGCTCCTGAGCACCTGCATACATCGACTTCCTGCATATCTTACCAGGTCTTACCTGCATCTAGTTGAGGCTGCCCCACACTTCGCTTACCTTATTAATGATTTCTTCTCAACGGCTTTTATTTTTTTAAGGATAGGTGGCAAACGAGCATGCGGCTCACCTGATGGTGAGTGACTACCGCCGCCAATAAACAACTGTAACACCAGGGGGATTGCAGATGCGTTGCCGGCCTTTTGAAAAGGAGTAGGCACTTTTTTTGAAGGTTAAGTCGTATCGGACCGGAAAAATCGCTGGTAATAATCGATTCCACAAGGAAGTTGTGCGAGGAAGAAAACTTATTCTAAATCGCACAGTGGTGGACCGCCAGTCATCCAGATGGTGTAGATTTTTGAGTTTTGTCGCGATGTGCGATGGTGAAATTGAGCGGCTGGAATTAGTCCGAACAATTCCTCAGAACACTCCCCGTGGTATATGCGATAAAATACGCTAAGAGATGCAACATGTTTACGCAATGCCAGTGGTTGTCTGTTCTTCGAGATATATGGTGTATCTAATGGGATAGGTCATCGTCTAGCAGGGATTTTAACGTTTACGGACCGATGAAGAAAAAACGTGGAACTGTTTCTTTGTTTAGACTCCTCCTTAGTTGGTATCTCATTACTATCTATTTCTGCTGCCAAGAAACAGTGCAGCATTCTGCTTTGTTTTAGTTTGATGGTTGAGTATATATGTATGAGAGACCAAATAATGAAGGGCTATGAGACGTTTCCCTTTAGTTGCATGAAATAGAATGGTTTCTTTATTCAATATAGATTACACGTAATTCTTATTCAAAGTCATTTTTTATTTTTACCACTGGTTTGCAAAAAAATACCTCTGTCCTGGGAAGAACCAGCAAGAAATCCAGCGGGACTTTTTTTTAAAGTAAATTATACAATATTTTATAAATATTATAAATTTATTTTTGAAATGTTTTTGCTACGATGGCGGCACTGAAAATTTCGGGAATCAAGGAAGTGACACCACATTACTATTTAAAAATGTATTTATTGCTTTTCGAAGTATTCTCCGCGAAATTTGACACATTTTTCCATACGATGGAACCAATCATTGAAGCAACCATTCCATTCGGAAGTTGGGGTCTCCAAAATGGCCGTTTTGTAGGCGTCCAGCAGCTCCAATCTCTGTCCACGCAATTTATTCTTTATTTTAGGGAAAGTATAGAAATCATTAGGGATTAGGTCGGGGCTGTACGGCGGATGGTCTAATAAATCTATGTTTTCTTGCTCTAAAAACTCTTTTGTTCTGTGTGCGGTGTGAGAACTCGCATTGTCGTGATGGAGGATGATGCGGCGGTTGCAGTTCTCTTTACGGAGTTCAGAAACGACCTGTGGCAAACAAATGCTAGCATACCATTCTGCATTAACTGTTCTTTGTCCCTCAAGAGGAATAGTCGTAACATGGCCGGTTTTGGAGACAAACGTGGCCACCATTTTTTTTGCAACACTCCGTGAACGAACAATTTTTGTTGGCTTTAACTCATTTTCGAAAACCCAAACTCGTGACTGGTTTTTTGTTTCGGGTTCGTACGCGTATATCCAGGATTCGTCACCTGATACGATGTTGTATACAGCATTTGAGGATCCTGCGTGGAATCTTTCGAGAGTTCTGACGCACCAAGTAACGCGAGCCGCTTTTTGCTTTTCACAGAGCGAATGCGGTATCCATCGGGAAAACAACTTTTTTTACACCTAATTGTTCATGCAAGATTATTTGTATTTGACTCATGCCAATGTCTAAAGTTGCCTGAATTTCGGGGTATGTCACATGTCGATCTTCCTCAATCAGCTTACGCACAGCATCAACGTTTTCTTGAGTGACTGCAGTTTTTGGACGACCTTGATGGGGATCATCACTGAGCTTGACACGTCCACGTTGAAATTCAGCAAACCAGCGATAAATTGTGGTTTTGGATGGGGCTTCATCACCAAATGCAGAAATCATCCGGTCAACACACTGTTTTTGTGTTAAACCACTTCGAAAGTCATAATAAATCATCGCTCTTGAATTTTCTCGAGTCAATTCCATTTTCTCAACAACTAAACAAGTTTGACAAAACCTTGTGACAAGACCGAGAATCTTTTTTTAAATAAATAAATGGTATTCGATTTTTAAAACCAAGGAGTTTTCAATTAAAAATATTTTAATATGACAGAAACAGTGGAAATATTCCATTCCCGATACTTTTAGTGCATCCTATGTATTGGTACTGTGCATGTTGACGGTACGGTTTCGATGAGCCGCCATTTCTGATCCCATTCATTATCGGTACAGACTGTAAGCTCGACTGCCCGCTTGTGGGTCACTAGAATACTGTGCATATTTGGTTCAGATCTGTTCAAATGAAATGAAATCAAAATCATTTATTTCGTGGATCATAGGTATTACCTAGATGTTAAATACATCATTACAATTATCAAGTTCAATTATGTCCTACCCTGTGGGCATACGACGTACAAGTTATGTTTAATCTATACAGACACGGCCAATGTCACTTCATTTATATAATATAAAGAAGCAACTGATAAAATTCTACTATTAGATAAAAGCCAGTCCTTTATGTAAATACTAGCGATCCGCTCTGGCTTCGCCTGGGTCTTCCGTCTGTTAATGTGGCGCTTTTTAATTTTAATATCATCAAAGGACATTTGTTATATCATATTTTCATTTTTTTTTCATAAAAGAAGTTTTTTAATATTGATATGGTCATAAGATGTTGTTAGGTTATCTAATTACTTAATAACTTAAGACAGAAGGACCCTTAAGTAGGGACTGAATAAATTACCCGACTTGGTATTACATCTCACAACTTTTTACGGTAGAAGAACTGAGTTGCGAGACTTGGTTTTTTTACAAGTTGTGTTTTTGATGGCATCTCATTTTGTTTTTGTAGATAGTTATATCTAGGTACCTATAAGGTGCACTGATTCATTCACTGCAAATGTAACTTTGTAATCCTATATATTTATATGGGATTACAAAGTTATTTATGCAGTTGGTGTATCTAGAAAACTGGACCGAAATTGCAAAATATTTTAGATTTTCCTTAATTTATATACTAAACAATAATGGTATTCCAAATTTGATGCTTCCATGTCTGCTAGAAGTGCCTTCGAGTTTTGATAATCGGTCAGTGAGTGAGTGACAAAATTAATAAACTTTGACTAGTTGTAAGTCTTAAACTACTGGTTCATATTTAATGAAATTTGAAATATACCGAATTTATACAATGCCTATTTGGTTACTGTGTGTAAAATTCAGACTTTTAGTTTTGTCCACAACGAAGTTATAGGGTTTCGAAAATTGCTCGTCTTGGCGGAGGCATGGCAGTGCCCCCAGGTGTAATACAAGATACATAAATATACGTAATATATTTATGAAACTAATATACAGAGATTACAACTATAATGATGAAGGAACTTAGCAGTTGGAAATCAATTTTAGAAAATGATCTCGAACATTCTTCTTAAATATTTGTTTGCAGGTTTTAACAGTGGTAGAGCCACGCGGCAGCTTTTGCTGTCGCACGGATGGGCCGGCTCGAACCGGCGTAGTACCACGACCTCACAGAAAACTAGCGTGAAGTAGAGGTTTACCTCTGCGTTTCGCTTGGTGAGTGCAGGTGGCCGGAGGCCCTTTTTACTGGAAATGAGGCATTTCATCTTAGTCCTCACGGGTGACAACGCATCTACATTTTGATTTGTAACAGAGGATAGCTGTAGATGTCTATGGGCCGCAGCAACCACTTACCATCAGGTGGACTGTGTGCTCGTTTGTCACCCTTATCCTATAAAAACAAAACGGTGGGTTGTCTTAATTTTTCAGGCAGGTCATTACACAGGCGCGCAGCTTGGACAGCATATATTGAAGATATGAAACTCGAACGGCGAAGGGGTATAAAGAGAGCAAGAGTCACCGATGAACAAAGCTGTCTGTCACGAGTGTCCCGCAGAAACTGAAACTTTTGTTTCATATAACTTGGATATAAGATAAAATAATAAAATAGAAAAAACTGTGTTAAGTATCCTAATGCACCTTCGCTGACGAATTGGAAGCCATTTAAGCTGACTGCAGAATGAGGATACATGATCAAACTTGCGAAGACGAAATATAAAACGGATACAGTTATTGACGAGAAGAACCAACTTATCAAGGAAAACCTCAGTGAGATTAGGAAAATATACATCAGCATAGTCAATAATAGGCAAAATAAGAGATTGCACCAGAGTTGTCTTCACCTTGACCAGAAGAAAGTTCCTGAGACGGTTCTAAGCACTGAGCTTGTCAAAAACAGATCATCACAATCGGTTCAGTCATTCCGAAGATACATTCGGACAGACAAACAGACGATTTTATAATGGTTATTTTTTTTTATAGGATCGGGTGACAAACGAGCACACAGTCCACCTGATGGTAAGTGGTTACTGTGACCCATAGACATCTACATCTATCCTCAATAAAGACTCAAGATGCAGATGCGTTGTCACCCGTGAGGACTAAGATGGAATGCCTCTTTGCCAGTAAAAAGGGTCTCCGGTTCTCTACACTTACCATACGAAACACAGCAGCGTTAAGCTGCTATTTTACGCTGGTTTTCTGTGAGAGTGTGGTCCTTCCCCGGTCGAGCCGACCCATTCGTGCTACAACCATAATATAGCTGCAGCATGGCTCTACCACGTATTTTTATATTTATGTTTTAGAATATTTCTATAGAATTTCAGGTGCGATTCTATAAAATATCCCTAAGACAGATATAGTAACTTCTAAGCTCCGGAAAAAACGTTGGTGGTAGCCAATTGCTGCCAAGCATCCAGATGGTGTGGATGCCAGAAATTTTCTCGCGATGTGCGTTGGTAGAATTTCGCGGCTAGGATTAATCAGAACAATTCCTCTGAGCACTCTCCGTGGTTCTCTCTCTCAGCATCTCATCGTAGCGCCAGTGAATCGAGCCGATCAGAAAGAATGCGGTCAGGTGAAACGAGTTGACACTGGAGAGCGCCGGCCCAGAGATGTGAACAAAATGTAACAGAAAATGCAAAGGGATGCAGCATCTCATCGCAGCGCCAGTGAATCGAGCCGATTAGAAAGAATGCGGTCAGGTGAAACGAGTTGGCACTGCGAGGCCGAACCTGCGCCTTGTAAAGCTGGGCCAACTGCATCCATTGGTTTTCTGTATCTCATACCTGGTCATGCAAATAACACCCTAAGCTTAATAGAAACCAGTTCTTTCGATATTACAGACAGACACTTCAGTTTTACTTATATGTGTTGGGGATTAGCGAATCTTGAAAGCGGTATATGATCAGAAAGTATTTTGATATGCACTTGTTGCATCTGTGACAAGCGGCTCAACTCTCTTATCAACCACTTTAGATATAACTTGATCTTAAATAGGCTTTCGCAAATACACCATGCTTGTTTCTATACAGTGATAGCAAAGATGAAGTTTGTAGTGTTTAATCTCGTCTTAGTTTGTGCAGCGTGGGCGTCACCGAGGTTGGACCCGTTAGTGGACACGAAGAAGGGTCTGATCCGGGGTCTGCAGGCGTCCGATGGGGACTACTCTATGTTCTTGGGCATTCCCTACGCGAGGGTCAACGAGAGCAATCCGTTTGGGGTAAGTTAATGCAGTGTTTCTCTTTTTATATACGGCTCCGTGGCGCAGGGGCTTAGCAATGAGTTGCTGCGCTGGGGGCCGCGGGTTCAAATCCCGCACGGAACAAGTATTTGTATGGCCTGGAAATAATTGTTCCGGGTCTGGATGTTTGTTCTTGTGAAATATATGTATGTAAACTGGCTCCACGATTCAGGAGAAAATCCTAGAGTGGGGTAACGTTTTTTTTTTTAAAAAAAAAATAATAACTGAAAGATTGAGCTTCGCTCATCATATAAAGTGCAAACCAAAAGGAAGAATAATCTAATATATAAAACATATTTTTTATTTGTTCGTATTTTATGCGCTGTCATACCGTTCATTAGATTGCGGCAAAACTTTGTCAACTTATTGTTTGCACTTGGGAGACAGTTACAGGCATAGGACCATTAACTTACAGTAGGTTGCGCGCGTAATGTAACGACAAATTTATTTGAATGTTACATATCATTCAATTTTAATTCAGTGTATTATTATTCCTTATTAATCCATATAACTGTTTCAAATTTAAAACGACATTTCAACAATTTTCCGGAGGATAGGGAAAAATGGTTCTTGAGTGGCAGCCTCGTACTCGATACGCAAAGTATAGGGCGACCCCTCACTAGATAGATTGACGACCTGTTAAAGACATGCAGGAAGTCGATGGACGCAGGAGGCTCAGGACCGTGCTTTGTGGCATTCCTTGGGGGAGACCTGTGTTCAGCAGTGGACTTGTGATGGACTGTGATGATGATGATAATGATGAGTGGACTGTGTGACTGACCACAATCTCAATGTCTATTTAGATGACATTAGATGAGTTACATTAAATACTTCGTAGCCTATTTTACTATATTCAGGGGTGGATTTTTCTCAAATGTTTTATTAGACCACCTCTGACGTATAACTATTTATTAAAACATCATCATCAAAATTCATTAACAACTGACGTGGATATCGCGTATATTTCTTTCAATTCGCGAAGTCGAGTGGACTTTACTTGTGGTAAAAACGTATCTGTATACGCGTCAAAGTGTGCGTGACACTAAAAGCGGGTATGGTTAGAAACGACACGCTCGTAATTGAACGCTACGTTCGACACGCACACTATCGCAATGTGCACGTACACGTCTAACCACGAATACAGCCCGCCCGACTTTGTGAATTAACTAGAACTTAGTAAGTTATAAGTATAACAGAAATTGAAAATTTTAAATACCCCCGAAATAAAAAGAGCTGGTGATCTTCAAACTGCTGAATAGATTTCCCTTAATCATAGCTAAGAACACTCTTGATCAAGTCACCTTTCAAATAAACAAAAAATAACTAAATCTTAATTATTTCATCCGTTTGGGAGCTACGATGTAACAGCCAGACACACAGATACACACGTTAAACATAATATAACAATGTTTGTGTCGGGGGTTAAAAATACAAAAGAACAAATACAAAATTTTTCGAATTCGGCTAAAGTATTATAAATGCACCGGTAACTTAAGAATGTTTTATAATAAACCCAAAAGAAACTAATCTTTAAAATTAGTCACTAACCAGTACAAAGAAATTCCAGTAGATCAGCCTTCATAAGCAGCAACTGTAATTAATGATTAATTAATTCATTTGCAGCCGTCTGTACCACACCCCGATTTCGAAGAAGTCTTCGAGGCATACGACGACTCTGCAATATGTCCGCAAGTCGAGAGTTTCGAAAACGAAATCGTAGGATCCCTAGACTGTCTCCACCTCAATATATACGTCCCCAACAAGGCTACCACAAGAAACCGTCTTCCAGTCCTCGTTTGGATACACAGCGGTGATTTCCGAAGAGGTTTCGCAGGACGCTTCATATACGGCCCCAAGTTTTTAGTAAGAAAGGACATAATCTTAGTAACAATCAACTACCGACTGGGTCCTTACGGTTTCATGTGTCTGGACACACCTGAGATACCTGGCAATCAAGGTCTGAAAGATCAGCTGAGTGCATTGCGATGGGTGAAGGAAAACATCGACGCATTCGGAGGCGACGTCAACAAGATTACTATATCTGGGTCGAGCGCTGGAGCAGTGTCAGTTGATTTCCATCTTTTGTCTGGACAAGAGAAATTATTCAATAATGTTATAATGCAGAGCGGAACCACCCTGTGTCCGTGGGTAATGGCAGGGGCCACTGCAGATGCCCCTATGAAAATAGCCGCACACCTTGGCTTGAAAACAGAAAACAACGCCGACGCTGTGAAGTTTCTATCAACAGTCGAACCCAAGCTGGTGATAGCCGCTACTTCAGAGCTCTCTCTGAAATTCCGTCCATGTGTAGAAAAGGACTTCGATGGAGTGGAGAAGTTTGTGGCGGAACACCCCATCAATAGTCAGATTCCAAAAGCGAAGAACATAAAAATTCTCGCCGGCTACAACAACCGGGAGATGCTTCACGATTACGCAAACAAATCCCCAGAGAGCTACGATAATGACCTATTCAGCCAAAATCTGGAGAAAGTGTTTGATTTTAACGACGATGGAGACATGGAGCAGCTGGTCCGTCAGTTCTATATCGGCGATGAGAACATCAGTGAGGATGTGAAATGGAATCTGCTGGACTTTGACTCTGATTTCACCTTTAACCATCCGGTGCACAGGAACCTGCAGAAGTATCTAGAGAACGCTGGAACGGTATACCACTATATATTCTCATACGCGGGTGGCAGAAATTATTATAAAATCAAGCACAACATTACAGAGGACGGTGCAGCCCATGTTGATGAAACTGGCTACCTCTTCGATGTATCAATATTGCCTGACAGCATTTCGGATGAAGATCAACTTTTCATTGACAGGATCACGACGTTGTGGAGTAACTTTGTGAAATATGGGTATGTAGAAAAATTTTATATTACAAGACGACAGTAGCCTTACTCAAGAGTGCGAACCGCGAATTCAATAAACGTCATGTATTCGAATGCGCTATTCGTTTAAAGTCATGAACCACTGCTTATACAGGCGTTTTAAGCTTGCCAGGAGTGGTTATAGGGAATATTGGTAGTGTTAATAACGTTACGAGTATTTTATATTAGAAAAATGATGTGTGCAGTTCACACGCGGTAGAAGTGAAATCTTCAGAAAAGTAGACAAGAGTGGGTAGGCTACGAAGAAAGAGAGGAGAAACAAAGAGGAGGCCGAGATAATAGGAAACACTGTATACTGTATTCTATTTCATTCTCTTGCAGACTAAATCGTATAGATGTATACGTTTGTCTCTTTTTAGTGTTGCTTTTTCGTTACATCGAGTTTCAAGTCACAACGATTCTAAAGAAGCTTTCACTTCAAAAATTAAGCGATTTATTACATTTATATTCCTTTGTATAACATTTTGTAGAGATATTTTTCTTTTTTAATTTTGTATAGTATATTTTGACGTTAAGCTTGTAAACACGCTTTGAACACTGAACGTGCGGTGTTCACCTATTATTATATGTGCACTTAGTTTACATTACTGTCTTAGCACTTCACAGCACCTAAATCTGGTGGTAGTCGTGGTTAACTATGACATAGATACGTCGAACACCTCAGTACCCGCCGTGACCATGGGTGCTGTAAAAAGTGTTCGAAACGTCAGGAATATAAAAGTTAAATACGCGATAAAATCCGTAAAAACTAGTTTTATTTAAATGAGTATTGTTTGAGTAAATGTAAGAAATTAGTCTTAGAATTTAGGATAAGTATCAGTGTAACATTTGTTGTTTAACCAAATAAATAAATAACTTTCGCAGAGACCCCACACCTACAACATCGGAACTGCTGCCGGTGAAATGGACGCCCATAGACAAGAACGTCTTAAATTACTTGGCCATAGACACGGAACTGACAATGAAGAGGAGACCTTTCTACGATCGAATGGCTTTCTGGGACCTGTTCTTCAGGATGAACAAGCAGTTTATGAACGGTTACAACGGAGAATAGAAGCAACAGGAAACCGAACTCACGTATTATTAATTACTTTTGTATTCATCGATCATAGTAAATTTTGATGAGATGAGATTCTAAGATCTGTTTTATCTAATTGTTATTTCTGACACGTTACTTATGAAATAAATAAAGTTTCACCTTATCAAATTTTTTGTTTTTCTTTTCCCATGTTCCTTTTGTTTGAAATTTTATTTTGCTTTTTTAAGTTCAGTTTTTAATAAATCTAAACTACAATATTTTCTAATAGAATAAGGGTGACAAATGAGCACACAGTCCACCTGATGGTAAGTGGATGATGTGGCTCATGTGCATTAATATCTATCCTCGATTAATAATCGAAATGCAGATGCATTGTGACCCCTGAGGACTAAGATGGAATGCCTTGTTTCCAGTAAAAAGGATCCCCGGTTCTATACGCTCACCATACGAAACACAGCAGCGTTGAGCTGTTGTTTCACGCTGATATTCTGTGAGAGCGTGTTCTTTCCCCGATGGTGCTGCATCATGGATCTGCCACGTATGTATCCACTACTCCCACAACCCCATATCGTCCCGTGCGCTTATTAAGAGGCGACAGAGAATATAAAACCAGAATATCAGCAGCAGCGTCATCCTAATATAACTAATACAATTAAATAGCAAATATTTTGTGAAGTTAATATTAAGTTAATATTTTTGAATACTTTGCGTAGTGAAGAGTGCACGCCTTGCAATACATAACGCAGTGTTGGTACCGACTTTGTTATATGGCAGCGAAACCTGGGTATGCCAGAAGAAACATAAAAGCAAGTTGAATGCAGTGGAGATGCGATCTCTTCGTAAAACGTGCGGCGTTACCATGGCCGACCGAAAGCGAAACGAAGAGATTCGCAATATGGCAGGTTTGAAAGATGACCTTATCACAAAAATTGATAAGGGCGTGCTTCGGTGGTTTGGGCACGTTGAGCGAATGAGTGAAGACCGAATGGTGAAGAAAATATATAGCGCGAAAGTTAATATTAAAAGGTGTCGAGGTAGACCGAGACTAACTTTCGAAGACCAAGTGAGGAAATTGCTCGAAGAGGGTAGGGTCAAGAATACTCGGATACCTAGACGTGCATGTATGAAGAAGATAATGAATCTGAAAGAAGCGAAAGAGGTATGTAAGGATCGTGACACTTGGCGATCTGTTCTCTCTGGCTACCCCGTCAGGGATTGTGCGTGAAGATAAGTATAAATCATAAATGGTCTCACTCTTGACCTCCACCTGGCCCCAGAGCAAAGATGAGGTCTTCGATGGAGCGAGTTTGCCCAGGAGAAGCCTGTTGACACGCACCTTGAAGACGTTCAGGTTATAGGCACTTGGAAAAACAGACGCCGGCAGGGCATGCCACTCCTTGGCTGTGCGCATTATAAAAAATGACATAAAGCCCTTAGTGCGAATATTCGGAATGTCAACTAAGTGTGGATGGTAACCTGCAGTATGTCTGGTACTTCGATAGATGGCGGTATGAGTTTATGAAGCTCATGGGCACACTCTCCGAAGTACAATCTGTAGAATACCGACAGACAAGCAACTTGGCGGCGCGGCGGTGAGTTAAACTGTGAAGCTTAGTTCACCAGCTTTTTATCGACGATAAGCCTATTCCACTGAATCGAGTGTGACAAGTTGATATTTAGCTGAGCCATCCCAAAAGTGACTACAATACTCCCTGCATGTTCGGATTTGATATACTTTGTATAAAGTTAGAAGCTGTCCAGGCGTGAAGTGTCGTTTCACATATCATCATCATCATCATCATTACAGTCCTTCACCCGTCCACTGCTGAACATAGGCCTCCCCCAAGGAATGCCAAAAAGCACGGTACTGAGCCACCTGCATCCATCGACTTCCTGCATGTCTCACTAGGTCGTCACTCCATCTAGTAGGGGGTCACACCCTACACTTCGCCTACCGGTACGAGGCTGCCACTCGAGAACCTTTCTTCCCCATCGGTTGTCGGTTCTTCGAGCTATATGGCCGGCTCACTGCCACTTCAGCTTACTAATCCGTTGGGCTATGTCGGTTACTCTGGTTCTACTGCGGATATCCTCATTTCTAAGTTTATCACGCAGAGTCACCCCGAGCATAGCCCTCTCCATAGCTCGCTGAGCGACCTTGAGCTTCCTCATACGGCCATCAGTGAAGGACCACGTCTCAGATCCGTAAGTCATCACTGGCAACACGCACTGGTTGTACAATTTCGTTTTCAGGTTTTGAGGTATGTCTAACGAGAAAATGTGTCGTAGTTTCCCGAACGCTGCCCAGCCGAGTTGAATCCGTCGATTGACCTCTCGGTCGAAGTTGGACTTACCTAGTCGGACTATTTGTCCCAGGTAAACATACTCGTCAACAACTTCGAGCTTAATGCTCCCAACAACTACCGGCATAGGTGTGACATGGACGTTAAACATGATTTTTGTTTTGTCCATGTTCATCTTAAGACCTATCCGTTGGGGGACACTATTGAGCTCATTGAGCATAGTGCTTAGGTCGTTTCACATAGACAGAACAAAAATTTGTAATTTTTATCTGGTGGTAGCCGTGGTTAACTATGACATTGGGACTTCAAACACCTCAGATCTCCCACCCCATGGACCATGAGTGCCGTAAAGTGCTCGAAATGTCGGGAATATAAAATAAGTTAATATACGCGACAAAATCCGTAAAATCTAGTTTTATTTAAATGTTTCCTGTTCGCGTAAATATAAGAAATCATTATGTGTAGATAAATATGAATGCAACGTAACCATCTTATCAGTCACTTAAGATACTATTTGTTCTTAAAACGGGTGCTCGACATCCGAACGTGTTTTCGTCGAGCGACAGCAGAGATGAAAGTTGTACTGTTCAACCTCGTCTTGGTTAGTGCAGTGTGCGGCTCACCGCGGTTGGACCCGCTAGTGAGTACAAAGAAGGGCCTGATCCGCGGTCTACAGGCGTCCGATGGGGACTACTCCATGTTCTTGGGCATTCCCTACGCGAGAGTTAACGAGAGCAATCCGTTCGGGGTAAGTTAATGCAGTATTTATATATTGGTTCTCTTTTCATATAATAACTGAAAGACCGCGCTTATCACATTGTCATCACCCTTTACAAGCCCACTGCTAAACATAGGCCTTCCCCAAGGAGCGCCATAAAGCACGCTTCTGAGCAACCTGCATTCATCGACTTCCTGCATATCTCACCAGGTTGTCACTCCATCTAATGGGGGGGGGGGGACGCCCAACATTTCACTTACGGGTACGAGACTGCCATTTTAGCTTCGCTCGCCGTACCAATAATTTAATTTGGACAGTGATGACACCGATGTAGTGACGACGTCAATGAATGCAGATGGCTCGGGACCGTGCTTTGTGGCATTCCTTGGAAGATGCCTACGTTCAACGGTAGACTTGTGAAGAGCTGCAACGGTGATATTTTAGCATACTTATATATAAAATTTACTGCAGTCATTATCTTACGCGACGAGAAAAAGCCAATTTCAAAGAATCAGCTTTCTGTACCTGGTAGAGCCATGTTTCAGCTATATTATACTATAATTGTAGCACGAATGGGTCGGCTCGACCGGGGAACGACCGCGCCCTCACAGAATAGGTAAATAGCGGTAAACCTAAAGCGGTAAACACTGCTGTGTTTCGTATGGTCAGTGTAGAGAACCGGAGACTTTTTACTGGAAAAGAGGCATTCCATCTTAGTCCTCACGAGTGACAACACACCTGCATTTTGATGTGTAATAGGGGATAGATGTAGATGTCTATGGGCCACAGCAACCACTTACCATCAGGTGGACTGTGTGCTCGTTTGTCACCCTATCCTATATAAAAAAAAAACTAAAACGGGTAAAATAATTTCACATTCTGAAATTAAATGAAGAATCAAAATCCCAACTTCAGACTCAACTACAGGCTGTATATAGAAATTACTTTCTTTGTTTAGTTGTATGAAGTCTGTTTTTACTTTTTATAAGTTCATTTCTTTTGAGACAAAAGAAAAGAGTGACAAAGCGAAATGTATGTTGCAGAAGTGAACGGCAAAGTAGGGAAGGGACGCCCTAGGCGAAAGTTTATCGACCAAACTGGCGATATATTGAAAATGGGCCAAATTAAGAGTACCCTTAAACAACGAACGTGTATGCGTAGGTGTGTATGAATGTGGAGGAGGCGAGACAGGTGTGTTGGGATCATGTCAAATGGAAGTATGTAATCCCTGCCTACGCCTCTGGGTGACAGGCGTCAGTGTATATATGTAATGTCTTTTGAGTGGGTTAAGGAACAAATGTCGTCTAAATAGTTACATTAAAAACTTCATTCCCTATTTTGCCACCCGTGGAGATTTTTCACCAATGTTATATTGAACCACTCCTAACGTATAAAAAGATATCGTAACTCACGCAGGCGAGCAGGCTTTATTTGTAGTAAACACGTATCTGTATACGTGTTAAAGCGTGCGTGAGTCTCAAAGCAGGCCTCTGTCACTCTTGCTACCTGCGTGAAATAATTACCTACAATCGCGAGCTGCCCCAGGGGTAGATCGCAGTCGGGGCTAACGCGCTCTATACGATTGAATGTTAAAGATTTTTTAACTGTAAATTATTTTTTGTAAATACTTGTTGAAATACTCGTCGAAATACCTAGTCAGGTCATAAGTATTGTCACACAGTAAAAACTTTTCTTTTAGAATGCTGGCCACAAAATAGTTTATTGAATTCGAATTTCGAATTGTTCATGAAAATAAAACTGTATACTTTTTAGAATATTACTCATTTTTAAATATGGAGTGGACGCTTAAAGAAGACATGAAAAATTTTTTACCGTAGAAGAGAGCTACAACAAACAAAATGATAAGGTGTACGCACACAGTAGTGAAGAAGTGAGCAACTATATTCCGCGTGTCCAACGAGGTCATTTTCCATCCTCGCTCATGGTATGGTTGGGAGTTTCTTATTGGGGCTTAACAGAGGTACATTTTTGTGAGAAAGGTGTAAAAACGAATGCAGTTGTGTATCAAAATACAGTCCTGACGAACCTTGTGGAAGCTGTTTCTCATACCATGTTCAATAACTGGCACTGGGTATTCCAACAAGATTCGGCGCCAGCTCATAGAGCGAAGAGCACACAAGACTGGCTGGCGGCGCGTGAAATCGACTTCATCCGGCACGAAGACTGGCCCTCCTCCAGTCCAGATTTGAATCCGTTAGATTACAAGATATGGCAACACTTGGAGGAAAAGGCGTGCTCAAAGCCTCATCCAAATTTGGAGTCACTCAAGACATCCTGCTGCGATAGAAGACTGGCCGCGCAGATTTAAGGCCTGTATTCAAAATCACGGAGGTCATTTTGAATAAACTTTAGTGTCATAAGAATCTATGTTTTGTTAAGTTCATTTTGGTATATAAATGGTACATAATGAATAAACTTGTTTCAATTATTTTCAAGCAAGCAGCCAACATCAAAAGAGTGCAACTTCTGTACGTTGTACTATTATTTATTCTGTGCTCAAAACGAAGGCAACTGATCGTTCCGTAACACACGCATACTATCGCAACGTGCATGTACACGTTCAACCACGTGTAAAGACCGCGAACTTCGTGAATTTCAAGAACTGTAACATAAAAAAAAACAAAATACAAACTTTTTAAGTCTAATGATTAATTAATTCTGTTGCAGCCGTCCGTACCATACCCCGATTTCGAAGAAGTCTTCGAGGCCTACGATGACTCTGCAATATGTCCGCAAATCGAACTCTTCAAAAACGAAAACGTAGGATCCCTAGATTGCCTCCACCTCAATATATACGTCCCCAACAAGGCTACCACAAGAAACCGTCTTCCAGTCCTCGTTTGGATACACAGCGGTGATTTCCGAGTAGGTTTCGCCGGACGCTTTATACACGGGCCGAAGTTTTTAGTAAGAAAGGACATAATCCTAGTAATAATCAACTACCGACTGGGTCCTTACGGTTTCATGTGTCTGAACACACCTGACATACCTGGCAATCAAGGTCTAAAAGATCAGCTGAGTGCTTTGCGTTGGGTGAAGGAAAACATCGACGCATTCGGAGGCGACGTCAACAAGATTACGATATCCGGGGCTAGTGCTGGAGCAGTGTCAGTTGACTTCCATCTTTTGTCTGGACAAGAGAAACTATTCGATAAAGTAATAATGCAGAGCGGAACAACTCTGTGCCCGTGGGTGATGTCAGGGGCCGATGAAAACGGTCCCATGAAAATAGCCGAGCACCTTGGCTTGAAAACAGAAAACGACGCCGACGCTGTGAACTTTCTATCAACAGTCGAACCCAAGCTGGTGATAGCCGCGGCGGCAGAGCTCTCTCTAACGTTCCGTCCATGTGTTGAAAAAGACTTGGATGGAGTGGAGAAATTTGTGGCGGAACACCCCATCAATAGTCAGATTCCAAAGGCGAAGAACATAAAAATTCTCGCCGGCTACAACAACCGAGAGATGCTTTACGATTACGCAAACAAATCCCCAGATAGCTACGGTAATGACCTATTCAACCAAAATCTAGAGAAAGTGTTTGATTTTCACGAGGATAGAGACACGGAGAAGCTGGTCCGTCAGTTCTACATCGGCGATGAGAACATCAGTGAGGACGTGAAATGGAAACTGATGGACTTTGAGTCTGATTTCTCCTTTAACTATCCAACGCACAGGAACCTACAGAAGTACCTAGAAAACGGTGGAACCGTCTACCATTATATATTCTCATATTCGGGTGGCAGAAATTATAATAAAATAAGGCTCAACATCACAGAAGACGGTGCAGCGCACGTTGATGAAACTGGCTACCTCTTCGATGTCTCAATATTGCCTGAAAGCATTTCGGAGGAAGATCAGCTTTTCATTGACAGGATCACGACGTTGTGGACTAACTTTGTAAAATATGGGTATGTAGAATAATATGCTTTCCTTCAATTTCAAATTCCTGCCACTCCGAGCTGTCCGTTCATCAACTCTCATATTTTCTTTATTTAAAATGTTTAGGGACATGTCACTGTGTAGTGGCGGTGTAAGAATATCCACTTCCCAAAATCGACACGAGGGTATCGTAAGAGGAGGCAGAAGGAAACAAACTGTCTTTTTTATCTTTATAAAAAACGTTACCCCCACACTAGGGTTTTCTCCTGTATCGTGGAGGCAGTTTACAAACATAAATTGCACAAGAAAAAACATCCAGACCCGGAACAATAATTTGTAGGCCATACAAATACTTGTTCCGTGCGGGATTCTAACCCGCGGCCCCCAGCGTAGTAATTCATTGCTAAGCCACTGCGCCACGGAGCCGTCAACTAGGAGAGGGCCACCTGCCAAGTGTGGCATCAATTGCACAAGTGACAAACACGTTCTACGTGTCATCTTAAGAAGCAATGTGCAACTAAGTCCACTTCTGAACATAGGCCTCCCGCATAGAAAACCTTATAGGGGAAGGAGGGGCCTAGTTGCTGCTCTTGGCAGGCAGGTTGGAAACAGCAGGTTTTTAGTTATATATATATATATATATATATATATATATATATATATATATATATATAATAGGGTGACAAACGAGCACACAGCCCACCTGATGATAAGTGGTTGCTGTGGCCCATAGACATCTACATCTACCCCCAATAAAGAATCAAAATGCAGATGTGTTCACACCCGTGAGGACTAAGATGGAATGCCTCGTTTCCAGTAAAAAGGGTCTCCGGTTCTCTACACTCACCATACGAAACACAACAGTGTTAAGCTGCTATTTTACGCTGGTATTCTGTGAGAGCGTGGTCCTTCCCCGGTCGAGCCGACCCATTCGTGTTACAACTACACTATACTAATATAGCTGCAACATGGCTCTACCACGTAAAAACCACTATGATCCTGTTTTGGGAAAATGACTAATATAATATTTAGCTATATAATAAAGTTAATCCTGTAAAAAATTTGATTTGAGTACTCAGCATGCGGTGTTATACCTATTATTAATTTTAGTTTTTTCTAGTTTGTTTTCTTTAATTTACCCCCACCACTAGGATTTTCTCCTGTACCGTGGAGGCAGTTTACAAACATAAATTGAACAAGAACAAACATTCAGACCCGGTACTTATTCCTAGGCCATACAAATACTTGTTCCGTGCGGGATTCGAACCCGCGGACCCCGGCACTGCAACCCATTGCTAAGCCACTACACCACGGAACCGTAAATGTGAATTTAATTTATATTACTGTTTTAGAATTTAGTATAAGTGTATAAACATTGTTATTTAACCAAATAACTCAATTAACTTTCGCAGAGACCCCACACCTACAACATCGGAACTGCTGCCGGTGAAATGGACGCCCATAGACAAGAATGTCTTGAATTACTTGAACATAGACACGGAACTGACAATGAAGAGGAGGCCTTTCCACGACCGAATGGCTTTCTGGGACCTGTTCTTCAAGATGAACAAGCAGTTTATGAATGGTTACAACGGAGAATAGAAGCAACAGGAATAAGAACTCACGTATTATACGGAGAATTGGTTTTGTGTTGAATCAATAAAACTAATTTTACTGATTTTATCGAGTTTAATTTTATTAAGTTTTAATGCCCGACGTGGTCACTCAGCAAGCTATGGGGAGGGATATGCTCGGAGGTTTTCTCGTTACAGTATCCGTTACGATGATAGCCGCAGAAGAATAAAGTAATCGATAACGACAAAGTTACCTAAATGATAAGTAACCTGACCGTGTAGTGGCGGTGTAAGAATATCCACTACCACATATCATACCGTGGGTGTCGTAAGAGGCGACAGAAGAAACAAATCAGGAGATGGGCAGCTGTCTTCCTAATCATTACAGCCCTTCACAAGTCCACTACTGAACATAGGCCTCCCCCAAGGAATGCCACAAAGCACTTACCAGGTCGTCACTCCATCTAGTGGTTGGACGCCCTACACTTCGCCTACCGGTACGAGGCTGCCACTCGAGAACCTTTCTTCCCCATCGGTTGTCTTCCTAATAACAACTCAAAATAAAAAACTGCGATTGCCAACCCCGTTGCTAAGCGTGGCAAATATGGCAACTATCCCCCCTATGAGGCAGTCTATGGGGGAGAGGTTTGAACTTATGTTCAGCAGTGGAATTTTATATGCTGTAATGGATGGATGTATAGAAGATAATCTACCAGGAGCACATGACCCGCTGAGAGGTGAAATTATTAAATCAACAGTAACATTACAACTATGGCACAATCCTCCCTATGAGGCGATCTATGGGGAGGCCTATGTTCAGCATTGAACTTTAAAAGGCTGTAATGTAGTAATGTATGATATATTCATACACGAACTCGATCCGGCCACAATATGCTCTACCATTATTATTGAGTACTAGCGATATACCCCGGTTTCGCCTGGGTACGATCTATTACTGTGGCGTTATTTAATTTTAAGATAGTCAAAGACCATATATTTTATGTCCTTTTTTTTTAAACCGACTGGAATGTGTGCTCGTTTGTCACCCTTATTCTATAACAAAAACAATCGGTTCAGCCATTCCGAAGGTTTAGCCCCGACAGGTTAAATGGTTATTTATGTCAGAATGCATGCAGATAATCCACTAGGCTCGATAGAAGCCAGTTATTTTAATAATACAGATAGACACTTTATTCATATGAATAGATAAGTATGATAGGCACGTAACCATCTTATCAATCACTTAAGATACTATTTGATCTTAAAACGGGTGCTCGATATCCGAACGTGTTTTCGTCGAGCGACCGCAGAGATGAAAGTTGTACTGTTCAACCTCGTCTTGGTTAGTGCAGTGTGCGGCTCACCGCGGTTGGACCCGCTAGTGAGTACTAAGAAGGGCCTGATCCGCGGTCTGCAGGCGTCCGATGGGGACTACTCCATGTTCTTGGGCATTCCCTACGCGAGGGTTAACCAGAGCAATCCGTTCGGGGTAAGTTAATTCACCATCCGTCCATTACAGAGTATAAGAGTCCACTGCTGAACACAGGACTCCCCCATAGATTACCTCATAAGGGAGTTATTTGCCATAGTTGTAATGTTACTGTTGATTTAATAATTTCACCTCTTAGTGGGTCATGTGCTCCTGGTAGATTATCTTCTATACATCCATCCATTACAGCCTGTTAAAGTCCACTGCTGAACATAGGCCTCCCCCATAGATTGCCTCATTTTGCAATAGTTGCCAAGCTTGGCAGGCTGGTTGGCAACCGCAGTTTTTTGTAATTCTGAGTTGTTATCAGGAAGATGACCTGTTTCAGTTTCCCTCTGTCAACTCTTACGACACCAACGGGACGATATGGGGTAGTGGATATTCTTACACCGACACAACACGGTTAATACACAAAGCTATAAAATATTGACAGACAAAGTGACATTATTTTTTAACGTGGTAGAGCCATGCTGCTGCTATATTAGTAGTATAGTTGTAGTACGTATGGGTCGGCTCGACCTGGGAAGGACCACGCTCTCACAGAATACCAGCGTAAAATAGCAGCTTAACACTGCTGTGTTTCGTATGGTGAGTGTAGTGAACCGGAGACCCTTTTACTGAAAACGATGCATTCCATCTTGGTCTTCCGGGGTGACAACGCCTCTGCATTTTGATTCTTAATCGAGGGTAAATGTCATGGGCCACAGCATCCACTTACCATCAGGTGGACCGTGTGCTCGTTTGTCACCTTAATCAGTAAAAAACAAAATCTTCAGAAAATTTAAACATCTAAAGGCTAAATTATCAATCTACAGATAAAAGTTATCAATCAAAAAAATTATAATCTGCCTGAATATAAAAATGAAACACTTGAACTGCTTATCCCTAAAACTGTACTTTTAATGATTTCTTATGTTCACCCGAACACTATTATAAATTTAAATGATAATAGTATTTAAAAATATTAACACGCTGTGGGTGCTGCTGACACAACACAGCACACACATGCGTTACCCGTGTCAATGTATGTGTAATTCTAGCCAAATACGATAACGACCGCCACCGGCGAGACGGTAGCCTGTAAGCGATTAGTTCAGTTCCTTTGGAGTGGTACTAAGCGAGCACGCGTCTCGGGTTCGATAAAACAAATCTACTTCAACCAGTTATGTGAACAATCTAATCATTTTCCCCTTTACACATGCCTTTATGATACACCAGGATCCCAGGAACACAACAACGTATATTAACTTATTTTATATTCCCGACGTTTTGAGCACTTTACAGTCACGGGGGGACTTATGGGTGCTGTAAAGTATTGGAAGCGTAAGGAATCCCGTTCCAGAACTTGCAGCAGAAAGCTACATGATATTAATTTATTTACAGCCGTCATTACCTTACCCCGATTTCGAAGAAGTGTTCAAGGCCTACGACGACTCAACAATATGTCCACAAGTCGAAGAGTTCGAAAATCAAATAGTAGGATCTTTAGACTGCCTCCACCTCAATATATACGTTCCCAACAAGGCTACCACCAGTAACCGTCTTCCAGTCCTCGTTTGGATATATGGAGGAGGATTCCAAATCGGCTTCGCTGGTCGCTACTTATATGGACCAAAGTATTTAGTAAGAAATGACATAATTCTTGTCACAATCAACTACCGACTGGGTCCGTACGGCTTCATGTGTCTGGACACACCGGAGATACCCGGCAATCAAGGTCTGAAAGATCAGCTGAGTGCTTTGCGTTGGGTGAATGATAATATCGACGCATTCGGAGGCGACGTCAACATGGTGACGATAATTGGGGAGAGCGCTGGAGGAGTGTCAGTAGACTTCCATCTCCATTCAGTGCAGGAGAAATTGTTCGATAAAGTTATAATGCAGAGCGGAACAACTCTGTGTCCGTGGGTGATGGCAGAGGCCGACACAAGAGCTCCAATTACAATTGCTAAACACCTTGGCTTCGATGCTGAAGACAACGCTGACGCCTTGACCTTCCTATCGACAGTCGAACCGAAGCTGGTAATAGCAGCGGTGACAGAGCTCTCCCTAACGTTCCGTCCATGTGTTGAAAAAGACTTCGATGGCGTGGAGAAATTTGTAAGGGAACAACCTATCAATAGCCAGATACCAAAAGCTAAAGATGTAAAAATTCTCGCCGGCTACAACAACCGAGAGATGCTTGTTGGTTACGGAAACAAAGCATCAGGCTACGAACATAATATTTTCAAGAAAAACTTGGAAATGATTTTCGATTTGAACGACAACGAAGACTTAATAACACTGGTTAGGCAGTTCTATATCGGCGATGAAGATATGAGTGCGGATTTAAAATGGGATCTGATGGACTTTGAATCCGACTTTTCCTTCAATCACCCTGCACACAGAAGCTTACAGAAGTATCTAGAAAATGCTGCAAAGGTCTACCATTACATATTCTCATACTCAGGCGGTAGAAACTTTGTCAAGTTCAAAAACAACATTACAGAAGTTGGTGCAGCTCACGCCGATGAAATTGGTTACCTCTTTGATTTATCGATAATGGACACTCCATCGGAGGAAGATCAGCTCATCATTGACAGAATCACAACGTTATGGACAAACTTCGTGAAATATGGGTACGTAAAATAGGCTATGTAATAACCCTACGGTCCTACTTACAATCGTTCATTGTGGCTTACTTAAGTTATATATCCTGTGTCTTTCTTCTCTTTCTCTTTTCTTATTGTCATTTAGTAAATTGAGAGAGAGAGAGAGAGAGTAACAATAGAGAGCACGAATATTTGAGTAAGGCTGGTAATCTTTGAATTTTGCTGGACTTTCGGTTGCCTCATGGGTCTAACAGTCGTAAGTGCTGCTGTGTCAGTTATTGGGTTTTCTCTGTCAAATTCCCAGTAGCAGCATCGGAGTCATTTGACGGTTTTTGATCCCTGTGCCTCGGAAAATCACGTGAAATCATTATGCCTGATCTTTCTCCGGTTGTTTCGAATCGTAGTGTTGAAATGAGAGACATTCCATCTCAGTCCTTAGTCACTGCAGTCTACAGTGCCTTGGAGTGATTGTATTTGAGTAAGGCTGGTAATCTTTGAATTTTGCTGGACTTTCGGTTGCCTCATGGGTCTAACAGTCGTAAGCGCTGCTGTGTCAGTCTGTGGATTTTCTCTGTCAAATTCCCAGTAGCAGCATCGGAGTCATTTGACGGTGCTTCATCTCCGTGCCTCGGAAATCACGTGAAATCATTATGTCTGATCTTTCTCCGGTTGTTTCGAATCGTAGTGTTGAAATGAGAGACATTCCATCTCAGTCCTTAGTCACTGCAGTCTACAGTGCCTTGGAGTGATTGTACTTGTAAGTTTGTACGTTACTTCAGTTTTACAGAAAAATATCTTTATCTTGATAAATATCATATTGACCTTCAATCATATTTTGTTGCTATATCTGGTTGCTGGCGTATCAAATTGCAACATTCCTTACTGATAAATACACACCTAGCTGACCTTGAGATTTATATTTTATTCTGGACTAGCTGATACCAGCTCGTTGCTGACGCAGAAAAAATAATTGGGGAAATATCGTTTTATATTTGGGGCAGTTATATTGTTAAACTAGCTGATACCCACGACTTCTTCCGCGTTGCTTCCACACTTCTCTGAACACGTAGTGCTTAAAAAATCTTTGTTTCTTATATTAAATGTAAATATAAAATAACTTTATATTAAATGAAGATACCGCAACATTATTTTTTTTTTTAGATAAGGACCAAGATCCAATAGTCTAAGAAATAAAACTTAGAAAACCTAATTGAAATCTATCCAGTAGTATTTCCGTGATGCGCGCACAACTGCAAACCTCTATCAATCTATTTATATCGATAAGGAACGATAATCATCATCATTACAGCCCTTCACAAGTCCTCTTTCTTCCCCATCGGTTGTCGGCTCTTCGAGCTATATGGCCGGCCCACCGCCACTTTTCAGCTTACTATTCCGTTGGGCTATGTCGGTTACTCTGGTTCTACTGCGGATATCCTCGTTTCTAAGTTTATCACGCAGAGACACCCCGAGCATAGCCCTCTCCATAGCTCGCTGAGCGACCTAGAGCTTCCTCATACGGCCACCAGTGAAGGACCACGTCTCATATCCGTAAGTCATCACTGGCAACACGCACTGGTTGTACAATTTCGTTTTTAGGTTTTGAGGTGTGTCTAACGAGAAGATGTGTCGTAGCTTCCCCGAACGCTGCAGGAACGATAATACATTCATTTAAGTTGAATGATATAATATAACTTTTAAATAAATTTATCGGTACAATACTGTAAGTTAATTGTAGGTACTATGTCTATAACCTTCGCACAAGTTCAAGCAATAAGTTGACAAAGTTTTACCGCAATCTGACGGTGTGGCAGCGCATAAAATACGAACAAACAAACATTAATATTTATAATACACTAGCTGTGCCCCGCGGTTTCACCCGCGTCACCACGTGTCCGAGGTGCGCGATATGACCTAGTTCAAGCATTTTATAACTGCTAGGATTTAAGCGTCGTTCGCGCGCCCAGCCAAGTATTGAATTATTTTAATTTTACATTATCTCTTAAACTATGCGTCCAAATAACATGGTATAAAGTACAAAGTTTATCTTCATAAAATTGTCTTGATGATGAAGTAACTTTCGTTCGTAAGGATAAATAGGCCATGCCTAATAATAACGCTCATAAATCACTTTTAAATTTTCAATATTTTTTTGTCACTAAATACCAAATTAAGGCTTATATATAAGAAATAGACATGGTATCGCGGACTTTTTTTTAAAGGGAGTAAAGGTCTATATTTTTCTACAACATTGTATTTACGTATGCCTAACGATAACACCAGCGTACGCGGATAAATCATTTCGGGGGTGCTTTTTCTTCTGACTTGCTTAACAAATATCCCAATTTAAGGCTAGCTGAGTAATATAGCTTAATGCTAGATAGCCTATACTATTTCACATGAATTAGGCTATAATATTCAAAAAAGAATTTTTCAAATCGGACTGGCAGTTCCAGAGATTAGCGCGTTTAAACAAACAAAAAAACTCTTCCGCTTTATTATATTAGTATAGATTACATTGAGATAACGTCTTGTGTATCGTTTGGTGTGGCATAAGGGAATCCATCGCCTCATTTCGTCCAATTGGTGTCGTGAGAAACGGCTATGGGATGTGCCGGCAAGATTTTATGACTTTGTACATATGACAATATAACCGTTTTGTTTACGACAGATGACAGATTTTATACGGTGGTAGAGACATGCTGCAGCTATATTAGTAGTGTAGTAGTAACAGAAATACCAGCGTGAAATAGCAGATTAACACTGCTGCGTTTCGTATGCTGAGTGTAGAGAACCGGAGACCCTTTTTACTGGAAACGAGGCATTACATCTTAGTCATCCTGACTTTCATAAAGTATTCTAGTACTATTGTCACCAACTATGATAAAGTGTTTGTTTCCATTCCATTTCCACAGAGACCCCACTCCCGACACATCGGACCTGTTGCCGGTGAAATGGTCGCCAGTAGAGAAGGACGTCTTACATTATCTAGACCTAGACAGAGAACTGACAATGAAGAGGAGACCGTTCCACGACCGGATGGCTTTCTGGGACCTGTTCTATAAGATGAACAGGAACTTACTAAAGGAGTACGAAGGAGACGATTAGGAAGGAAGAATTCAATATATTTTATAGTATATATATATATATATATATATATATATATATATATATATATATATATATATATATATATATATATATATATATATATATATATATATTAAGAGAGAGAGAGAGAGACAGAGAATATATATCTATACAGATAAATAAAATTGAAATGTCTGTTTGTAATGTTAAAATAACAGCTTTTTACTAAATGCATATAAAAGTGTATAAGTACGGTACTAATAACAAAAAAAATTAAATTTTTTGTCTGTCTATGTGTCTGTTTGTTCCGGCTAATCTCCGAAACGGTATTGGATAGATAGCTGATGTTATAAAGAGTAACTTAGAGTGTTTATATTTTAGAAAAAGATTTAGGGTTCGGCCCGAAAAATTAAAATCCAAGAATCGTAGTAAATTCCACGCAGGCGAAGTCACGGGGGACAGCTAGTATATATATATATACTCATCACGAGATCTCTAAAACTATACACCAGATTGGCTTGAAATTTAGTAAAGTTACTTATTTTGCAATATAGACGCTCCCTAAGAACGGATTTCTAAAATGTAAAATGGTAACTGTTGATAATGGTAACCGCAGCTATGGTAACCAACTTTATTATTTAATGCTACTACTAACATAGTTAATTGTAATTTTTAATAATTGATACGCAGTAAAATATTATGGTAATAATATAGCTCAGCGAAGCGAGCGGGTATCAGCTAACGTTTGTATAAATGAGAATAACATATCTGTTTTAAAACCTCCATAAAAAATTATTTCATTGCCATCTCAGTGAACATCTCCTCCCCTCCCCCATTGATTACCACATAGGAGGATAGTGCCAGTGTTGCCGCCTGTTAGCAACCGCACAGTTTTTTAACTTTTTTCATCTGTTATCACGAAGAAGCTGCCGCCCATCTCCTGGGCTAGTTTCCCTCCGTCGCCTCTTACTACACCCACGGGTCGATATGGGATAGTGGATGTTCTTACTAGGCTTGCATTTTCCGAGACGTCCCGCTTCTGGGTCAATTATGGGCCGTCCCACGGTGGCCTCATGCGGGACGCCTTTTGTACTGGAAACCAGTGATTATATGATATTATTATCTATCTCGTACCAACTACGCTAATTTGTTACACATTATTAAAAAAAAAATTCTAATCAATTTGTATTTTTTTTTATTGGATCGGATGACAAACGAGCACGCAGTCCACCTGATGGTAAGTGGCTACTGTAACCCATAGACACCCACATCTATCCTCAATAAAAACTCAAGATGCAGATGCGTTGTCACCCGTGAGGACTAAAATGGAATGCCTCTTTGCCAGTAAAAAGGGTCTCCGGTTCTCTACACTCACCATACGAAACACAGCAGTGTAAAGCTGCTATTTCACGCTGGTATTCTATGAGAGCGTGGTCCTTCCCCGGTTGAGCCGACCCATTCGTGCTACAACCATAATATAGCTGCAGCATGGCTCTACCGCGTAGAGCCATTGTATGTGGTGTGTTGTGTCCCGCGTAATATATCCAAGTGCCGGATGTCGAGCTGCGTGATCCCGGAAATGCCTTTCTTAGAGTTGGCAATCCTAGTTCCTACAGCGCTACTAAACGACTATTAATAGTTAGTTATTTCACTGACTAGTGTCAAATACGCAACCTGTTGGCGCCTGATGGGTCACGGGTACCACAATGTGTGTGTCATATGTATACGCTTTTACAACTAAGTCCCAGAAAATATGCCTCATAGAGGGAGGAATATATAAGCTTTAACACGTAGTAGAGCCATGCTGCAGCTATATTAGTAGTATAGTTGTAGCACGAATGGGTCGGCTCGACCGGGGAAGGACCACACTCTCACAGAATACCAGCGTAAAATAGCAGCTTAATGCTGCTGTGTTTCATATGGTGAGTGTAGAGAACCGGAGACCCTTTTTACTGGAAAAGAGGCATTCCATCTTAGTCCTCATGGGTGACAACGCATCTGCATTTTGATTTGTAATCGATGATAGATGTAGATGTCTATGGGCCGCAGCAACCACTTACCATCAGGTGGACTGTGTGCTCGTTTGTCACCCTATCCTATAAAAAAGAAAAAAAAAAGCTTGGGCACACACTCGTGGACTATAATTCCGAACTGCGCAGATGGCTGGTCTTCGTTGAGATCGGCCGCCGTGACCGTTCGGTCTGGAGAACATTATTATAGAAGCAAAAGCAAAAACTTGAATTATTTCAAGCAATACTTCAATGTTATTCGTCTAATGGACTTGAAATTTACTTTTATCTAAACGTGCACTCATAATTACATATGCATGTGATGTGTGCGATTATGAAAAATGATTGGACGGTGACTTTTTGACGTCGTATGTATACTTAATTATGCAAAATTCAACGTAAATTGAAACCGTGAGGGTTGACAACCGCAGTTTTAATTTTTTTATAATTTTTAGTTGTTATCAAGATGCTACTGTCCAACTCCTGTTTTAGTTTCCCTCTGTCGCCTCTTACAACCCCCTCGGGATGATTTTTTTTTTATAGAATAAGGGTGACAAACGAGCACACAGTCCACCACACACACAGCAACCATGGTAAGTGGTTGCTATAGCCCATAGACATCTACACCTATGCTCGTTTGCGAATTAAAATGCAGATGCGTTGTCAGCCGTGAGGACTAAGATGGAATGCCTCTTTTCCAGTAAAAAGGTTCTCCGGTTCTCTACACTCACCATACGAAACACAGCAGCATTAAGCTGCTATTTTACGCTGGTATTCTGTGAGAGCGTGGTCTTTCCCCGTTCGAGTCGATCCATTCGTGTTACAACTATACTGTTAATATAGCTGCAGCATGGCTCTACCACGTAAAAAATATGGGGCAGTGGATCCTCACACACACCACAAGTATCGAATACGACCTATTAATGCTTAATAACAAATAAGACGAGCGTAGATTGGCGCGTTGTGCAAGCGATCCGAAATGCCTCACCAAGGCGATCGTCCGCTCCTTTCTGTGACATCTTGCGACACGCCAGACGGGGCCAGTGAATTAGCGGCAACGGATTTTTAAAGTGAAACTTGTTTATAGACGTATTACAGAAATTTAATAGGTACGGTATTTAATACGGTATTAAAAAAACCAAAAACATGCGTAAGTGTCGTGGAACACTCTGTAGGAACGAAGTTCCTTTCGTAGTACATTATTATTGATAAACGTATTATATTATTGATTAACAAATACAAATAAATGAATTATTGGCGTCTATTAAAATGAAGCATCATTTCAAATAAAATAATATTTCTTTCAGAGCAAGATAAGAAAAAGTGCGAGGGAGATGCACCCCGCTTACTTATAGCCGCCAACGCCGTCTACATAACGTCAAAAGGGGTTGTGACGGGAAAATTTTACACTTTTTCTCGCCTAGCCCCCATCCGCCAAATTCGTACGTCCGATACGTTTCGAAAAACGTCTCGTTTTCTTGTAACTTTTCACCGTCAGGGCTGTATGAGTATACTATTAAACCAATTTATTTACATAATATATAAAATTAATATAAAATAAAAGAAGAATTATAATATGTTGTAAAGAAGTTTCACTTCTGACGTGTGCACACAGTTTATGATACTTATATCTATACATACATACAAATAAAATTATATAGGTAGTATGTTTGTAATATCTAAATAACTGCCTTTATTGAGTGGAGGGGTTATTTATATGACATTAAGACATGAGTGACCATTTTCACATTTATTTTTTTCCATTTTTTTAAATCACTTGTTACCTTAGCAGAAGTTAAAAAAAAACAATTAGAATACTGGTCTTTGCCGATAGGTTTCGCGACTTCCAAATTCATTTCAGGCTTTTTACAGTGTGCGTTTGTGTGTTTGTGTTGTTGAAATGTGTTTATAACTCTGCTTCAGCGACACCTATCGGGTCCAGATTATGTGATTTTCTTTTTAGGACTAAATCAACATATTATTATAAGTGGTAAAAACAAGCTGCAGCTATATTAGTAGTATAGCTGTAGCACGAATGGGTCGACTCGACCGGGGAAGGACCACGCTCTCATAAAATACTAGCGTAAAATGGCTGCTTGACACTTTTGTGATTCGTATGGTGAGTCGAACCGGAGACCCTTTTTACTGTAAATGAAGCTTTCCGTCTTAGTTCTCACAGGTGACAACGTATCTGAATTTTGATTTGTAATCGAGGATAGATGTAGATGTCTATGGGTCACAGCAACCACGTACCATCAGATGGACTGTGTGATCGTTTGTCACCCTATCCAATAAAAAAAACATCCTATCTGTGAGGTAATCTATGGGGGAGGCCTATGTTGAGCAGTGGCCTTTTGAAATGATGTACCGATATTTGAAATTTATTTAGTCGCTAATCGCTATCCGCTTCCGCGCTCTCAACCGCAGGTTCACTAGCCACACGCCCACGCAAAGGGTGACGGTCGAACAGACCGATTCCTTCGATAATGTACATTTTTTACCCATACGGAGCTATTAACTGTTGCGCATATCTTTTTGTATAGAAAAATGATTTAGTGCCGATCGAAGTGGTTTGCATTTGTTGCATCGATTTATTATTACATATTTTAATAATAATGCGGTGTTTTTTGTTAGACGACCTCGTGGCTAAGCGATTATATCCATAATTTATTCGAGGTTTCGAATCCGCTAACGCATAACAGTGAAATATTGATTTTCGTGTCTTTTTTTTTTTAGAATAAGAGTGACAAATGAGCACACAGTCCTCGTTGTAAGTAGATGCAGTGGACCATAGACATCTAAATCTATCCTCGATTAAGAATCAAAATAGATTGCCTCATTGGGGGACTTTGCCATAGTTGTAATGTTACTATTAATTTAATAATATCACCTCTCAGTGGGTCATGTGCTCCTGGTAGATTATCTTCTATACATTCATCCATTACAGCCTATTAAAAGTCCACTGCTGAAATATAGGCCTGCCCCATAGACTGGCTCATAGGAGAGTTA